TCATACTGTTATGAAGCATCTGGACCAACAAGGCAGACATCATCAGGTAGCAGCAGTGACGAGGATTCTGCCCGGACAATTTCGTAACCGTCTGGAGTCGCACAGTTGGGTTTCGCTGCGATAAGGTAATGTACCCCTTAGAGTACATGGCTAGCTAGGTCATTTCGTATTCCATCTTGTACTTTTATATATATCAATGCATTTGCATGTTTTAATCATCTCAATCATTTTACATATCTAGTTCCGCTACTTGCACTGCCTGCCCTAGCGCGCTGCCCTGCTGTCACGCGCGCCCCTGCTGCCCGCGAGCAGCTCCTGCCCCGCGGGCCCCTGCTGCCCGCGAGCAGCCCTTGCCCCGCGCGCCCCTGCTGCCCACGAGCAGCCCCTGCCCCGCGCGCCACTGCTGCCTGCGAGCAGCCCCTGCCCCGAGTGCCCCGAGCGCCCTTGCTGCCTGCGAGCAGCCCCTGCCCCGCGCGCCACTGCTGCCTGTGAGCAGCCCCTGACCCGAGCGCCCCTGCTGCCCGCGAGCAGCCCCTTCCCTGCGCGCCCCTTCTGCCCGCGAGCAGCCCCGCAGCCCAGCGCGCCCCGCAACCCTAAACGCGCCAGCACGCCCCGCAGCCCAACGCGCCATCGCGCCCCGCTGCTAAGCACGCCATCGCGCCCCATAGCCTAGCGCGCCAGTGCGCCCCGCAGCCTAGCGCACCAGCGCGCCCCGCTGCTAAGCACGCCAGCGCGCCTCGCAGCCCAGCGCGCCAGCGCGCCCCACTGCGAAGCGCGCCAACGCGCCCCGCAACCCTAAATAATAATAATAATAAAAAAAAAAAACCCAGCGCGCCATGCTGCCCAGCACACTGCTGCTGCACACGCTGCTACTGCTGCACTGTGCCTTGCTGAGCAGCGCTGCCCAGGCCGAGCCGCGCCGCCAAGCCCGAGCCGCCCTCCTGCTACTACTGCTGCTGCTGGTGGAGGTGCTGCTGGGAGTGCTGGAGGAGCTGCCGCCCAGCCCCACCGAGCCGCTCTGCTGCTACTGCTGCTTCTGCTGCTACTGCTCGTGCTACTGCCGCTGCTGGTGGAGGTGTGGCTGGGAGTACTGGAGGTGCTACTGGTGCTGGAGGTGCTGGACCTACTACTGACCGTCACTGTCTGTCATGGCCACTATCACGGCAGTTGCAGCGGCTAGGGGTTGACAGCAGCGGTCACTAACTCTCCCGGACGATCCCACCCCTCAGCAGCTTCGTGAGTGGGTTATTCAGCGAGGTAGTCCTTGTGGTGGAGGTTTTGGTTTTATGTGGCCTCAGCAACCTCGTGACTGTGCTTCTCAACGATGTGTCCCTGATCGTGTAGAGGCTGCTGCTCTCGGTTCTAGTGAGTCTACTGTCGCTCCAGGTGCTGGTGAGTCTGCTGCAGCTCTAGGAGCTCATGAGTCTGCCGACGCTCTAGGTGCTAGTGCATCTACTGCCACAGGTCCTATCTCAAATGAGGCCTTGCATACTTTCACGCTTGACTCAGGCGCGTCACGTTGCTTCTTTTGTGATTGCACCACAGTCACACCACTCGCAGCACCTGTCCCACTCTCACTTGCTGACCCCACTGGGGGCCCAGTAGTTGCGCGAGCCTCCACTGTCCTCTCGTGTCTGGCAGTCCCCTCCGGGTCTCTCTCAGGTCTCCACCTCCTCGAGTTCTCGACGAACTTGTTGAGCAACGCAGCTCTCCAGGATGAATGGGTTGACACCTTCATTCTTGGAGGACAGCGTGTGGTGATCTGTAAGTGCTCACGGACTGGCCGTCACCTTGCTACGTTCACTCATCAGCCTGGGTCCAGTCTATACAGCCTGACCACTGCGTCTGCACAGGTGGCTGAGTCAGGTCAGGTGGCTGCGTCGAGTCAGGTGTCTGCGTCTGGTCAGCTTACAGCGTCTTGCTCATGTCGGGTACTCTCTCACCAGACTCTCCTCTGACACCACTGCCTAGGTCACCCCTCGTTGCCACGTCTCCGTAGCATGCACTCCCATCTCCTTGTCTCTGGCCTTCCCAGGTCCCTTCCCTCCCTCCCGCGCTTGCCTGCCCTGCCGTGCCTTCCCTGCGTTGAGGGGCGGCAGCGCACCGCTCCTCACTCCTCCGAGTTTCCTCCGACCACTGCTCCTCTGCAGACTCTCCACATGGACGTTTGGGGCCCGGCCCCCGTCGGTGGAACAGACCAGGAGCGCTACTTCCTACTGGTTGTTGACGACTACACACGCTACACCACTGTCTTCCCCTTGTGGCGCAAGGCGGACGTCAGCGGTGTTTTGATCCCCTGGATCCGTGCTACTCGTCGCCAGCTGCACGAGCGGGTTCGTTGGGACTTCCCAGTCCTGCGTCTGCACTCTGACAGGGGTGGTGAGTTCTCTTCTGACCTCCTTGCAGAGTTATGTCGAGACGAGGGCATCTGCCAGTCGTTCACGCTTCCGGCCTCTCCTCAGCAAAATGAGATTGCTGAGCATCGCATTGGCTTGATCATGGAGGTTGCTTGTACCTCCATGATCCATGCGTCTGCTCCCCATTTTCTGTGGCCGTTTGTGTTCCGATACTCAGCGCATCAGCTCAACCTCTGGCCCCATGTCTCTGAGCCAGAGACCTCGCCCACACTCCGGTGGACGGGGAAGGTTGGCGATGCGTCGGTGTTTCGAATCTAGGGCGCGCTCTCCCTTGTTCGCGATGCCAAAGCGAGCAAGCTCTCCTCCCGCACTCTCCGCTGCGTCTTCCTTGGCTTCCCCACCGACGCCCCGTCGTGGCAGTTCTACCACCCGCGCGAGCGTCGAGTCTTCTCCTCCCAGGACGTCACCTTTGACGAGTCTGTCTGTTTCTACAGGCTACACCCGCACACGTCCCACCCGGTCCTCCTAGTGCCTCTTTTCTTGGTACCAGTCCCCCCTCCGGTAGACCCCCTCCCCCCACAGGGTCCTGCTCCCTCAGGTGTGTCTCAGGTAGACCCACCCCCCTTGGTTGAGCCTTTGGAGATCTCTTATGACTCCTCTGGCCCAGCTGAGGGGGGTAACCCCGCCGCTGACGACACGGCCGCCACTCGCCACTCTCCATGCTTGGAGACCCCCCCTGGTTTTCCGCCTCGGCCATCTTCGCCGCCTCCGCAGCCTGCTGCTGTAGACTCTGGAGCTGAGACTACTGGTGCTGAGCCTGGGGGTTCTGAGACAGAGGGTGAGGGTTCTGGGGGTGCTGCGATTGGGGGTGCTGACTCTGGGGGTGCTGCAAGTCCTAGTGTCGGTGGAGTTGTGGGTGACCCTGCTGGAGGTCCTGGAGCTGGACAGCCACCGCAGCCGGATCTACTTCAGACCCTCTCGCCGAAGGCGATTTGTGCGTGGATCATTCGGCGAGGCAGTCCTGGTGGTGGAGGGTACGGTCCTGCTGGTGCTGGAGCTGCTAGTGCTGGAGGTACTGCTGGTGCTGGAGGTACTGGAGGTACTGCTGGAGGTGCTGGAGGTGCTGCTGGTGCTGGAGGTACCAGAGGTGCTGCTCGTGCTGGAGGTGCCGGAGCTACTAGTCCTAGAGGTGCTACTGGTGCTGGAGGTGCTGGACCTACTAGTCCTGGAGGTACAGCTGGTGCTGGAGGTGCTGCTGGTGCTGGAGGCGCTGGAGCTGGAGGTACTGGAGGTGCTGGAGCTGCTGATCATGGAGGTGCTCGTACTGGAGGTGCTGGAGCTGCCGGAGCTGGTGGTGCTGTTAGTGCTGGAGGTGCTGGGGGTACTGGAGCTCCTGGCACTGGAGGTGCTGGTGCTACTGGTGCTGGAGCTGCGGGAGCTGCTGGTCCTGGAGGTGCTCGTACTAGAGGTACTAGAGCTGCCAGAGCTGGTGGTGCTGCTAGTGCCAGAGGTGCTACTGAAGCTGCTGGCACTGGAGGTGCTGGTGCTGCAGGAACTGGAGGTGCTCGAGCCTTTGGTACTGGAGATGTTCATACTAGAGGTGCTGGAGCTGCTAGAGAAGGTGGTGCTGCTGGTGCTGGAGGTGCTGGAGGTGCTACTGGAGCTGCTGGCAGTGGAGGTGCTAGAGGTACTGCTGGTGCTGGAGGCGCTGGAGCTGGAGGTACTGGAGGTGCTGGAGCTGCTGGTCCTGGAGGTGCTCGTACTAGAGGTGCTGGAGCTGCCGGAGCAGGTGGTGCTGCTGGTGCTGGAGGTGCTGGAGGTGCTACTAGAGCTGCTGGCACAGGAGGTGCTGGAGGTACTGCTGGTGCTAGATGTGCTGGCGTTGCTGGAGCTCGTATTGCTGCTGGTGCTGGAGGTGCTACTGGAGCTGCTGGTGCTGGAGGTGCTGGTGCTGCTGGTGCTGGAGGAGCTGGACCTGCTCGTACTGCCCCACGCCGACTGTTTTTCTACCCGCAGCCGCAGTCGTCCCTGCCACCGCCTGACTCGGTCCTTCGCCAGGTTCTTAGTCTCCCGTCTTCCACTAGCCTCACTACACCTCTCCTGTGTCCACCGACAGCCAGTCTCAGCCACAGCTTCTGCCTGGCTCCCCTCTGCCTGCTCCTGCTCCTCACACTAAGGTGATAGAGTCCCTGACTGAGCGTCGTGAGCCTGGGACTCGTGCTTCCACACTTGTTCGTGCTCGTCATGTTGCTCGTCCTTGTCCTCCTGCTGTCCCAGGCACTCACGGTATGACACTTTTGTCAAACTCATATGCTATAGTCTGTTTAGGTTGTAGTGGGGTAGTTCTTATAGGGTACAACACTTTTAGATTTCCTACTTGTACCCACCTGCTTCCTAGTTCATCCATTCCATTCTCTCACATTCTAACATGCTATCAGAGCAGGTTCCCTACCCGGCCCTGCACCCGCCCCTGGTAAGCAGCCGCGCCGCCCAGCCGAGCCGCGCTGCCCACTGAGCCGCGCCGCTCTGCCGAGCCGCGCCACCCTACCGCGCCGCACTGCCCTGCACTGCCCTACTGCTACTACTGCTACTGCTGCTATTGCTGCTTCTGCTGCTACTGCTGCTACTGCTCCTACTACTGCTATGGCTAGCCCTACTGTTCTCACCTTTGATGCTGAGGGGCGTGCAGTTGACTTTGACGTGTGGGTTGACGACCTGCAGCTCTTTCTTCAGTGTGACTCTAGAGATGGGGTATCACTTTTCGATCACACGTCCGGTGTCTTTACTGCTCCTGCTGCCACTGCTGACACTACGGTTCGCTCGCAGTGGACCACTCGTGATGCTGTTGCTCGTCTTGCTGTTCGTAGTCACCTGCCGCCTGCTGAGCGCGCGCATTTTGGTCAGTACAAGACTGCTCAGTCTTTGTACGACGCTGTAGTTGCGCGCTACTCCTCCCCTGCCACTGCTGCCCTCAGCCGCCTCATGCTGCCGTACCTTTTCCCTGACCTTGCCGCCTTTGCCGCAGTCGCTGACCTAGTTTCTCACCTCCGCACTAGTGACGCCCGCTACCGCGCTGCCCTTCCCACTGAGTTCTGTGCCAAGAACCCCCCCCCCCCATGTACATCGCCCTTTACTACCTAGTCACCCGCCTCCCTGACTCCCTTTCTTCAGTCAGGGACCACTTTCTCTCCCTTTGCCCCACCAAGCTCACTGTCGACCTGCTAGAGGAGCGCCTAGATCCAGCTGAGAAGAGTATCTTAGCTGTAGGTGCTTCTCGCGGCGACCGTCGCACCCCTTTCTTTGAGGGGTGTTCCCCTGTCCCCCTTCTCCCCTCTGTCGCTTCTGCTGCTGCTGTCGACCTCGTTGGCACTGAGGAGGTCGGCGCTGCGTCTGCCCCTAGTGGGAGACACCGCAACAGCAAGGGCAAGGGGAGCAAGGGTGGTGGGGGGGACGGAGGGGGCGGCGGCGGAGGCGGTGGAGGAGGCGGAGGGGGTGGCGGTGGGGGTGGGGGTGGTGCCGGGAGTGGGGGCTTCAGTGGCGGCGGTGGCGGTGGTGGAGGCAGCGGCGGAGGTGGTGGAGGCAGCGGCAGCGGTGGCGGGGGTGGCGGTGGCGGTGGTGCTGGTCGAGGTGCAGCCACGCAGCGTGGTGGCTTTGGTGGTAGCCAGCGCCAGCAGCAGCCGCGTTCCCGTGAGACCCCGTCGGTCCAGCAGCTTCGTGAGTGCTACGCTGGGCGTGGGAGGTCTGGGGGTGCTGGTCCCTGCACTTACGTTCTTCGCACCGGCAGTCGTCGTGGGGAGACGTGCGGGCTGTCCCACACTGCGCAGCGCTGCTTCGGTCGCCTGACTGACGCCTGGCGCGCCCAGTTTCCTGACGCTGTTGAGCTCCCTCGCTGGGGTGATCTGCTTAGGCAGAATGTTGCTATCTTTGATCTTGATTTCGATGCTATCCTTGCTGCCATGTATGCTTTGACTGATAGTGCTGAGGGTGATTGTTACCTGAGTGTCCCGCCCGACCCGGGCATTTCGGCTGCTGCTCTAGGTGCTAGTGCGTCTGCTGCTCCAGGTACTGGTGAGTCTGCTGCTCCAGGTGCTGGTGAGTCTGCTCTCTCTGGTACTACACCTACTGAGGCCTTGCACACTTTCACACTTGACTCTTGTGCTTCGCGCTCTTTCTTTAGAGACAGCACCACGCCCACGCCGCTCAGTCGGCCTGTAGCAGTCTCCCTGGCTGACCCCTCTGGGGGCCCAGTCCTTGCGCACTCTTCCACGGTTCTACCGTGTCCTGCGGCCCCGTCGGGCTTGCTGTCGGGACTCCACCTCCCCTCGTTCTCTACGAACCTGGTGAGTGGAGCTGACCTCCAGGACGCGTGGGTTGACCAGTTCGCCCTTGGAGGTCAGCGTGTGACCCACTGCACTTGCTCTCGGACGGGCCGCCACCTGGCCACGTTCACCCGTCGGCCTGGGTCGAGTCTCTACACACTGACTACTGCGCCTCCTCCGGTCTCTGCGTCTGGTCAGGTAGCCGCGTCTAGTCAGGTGTTTGCTGCTGCGTCCAGGTCTAGTCCTGCGTCTGCCCCCTGCTCGTGTCGTCCTCTGACACACAAGACTCTCCTGTGGCATCACCGCCTTGGTCACCCCTCCCTGCCTCGTCTTCGCGGCATGGCCTCCCGTACCCTTGTCTCGGGTCTCCCCCGGTGCCTTCCTCCCCTTCCTCCGGGGCCTGCCCCCACTTGTGTTCCCTGTGTCGAGGGCCGGCAGCGCGCCGCTCCTCACTCCTCCTCGTTCCCTCCGACCGAGGCTCCCCTGCAGACTCTTCACATGGACGTGTGGGGCCCAGCCCGCGTCCGTGGACAGGGTCACGAGCGTTACTTCCTGCTGGTCGTTGACGACTACTCGCATTAAACCACAGTCTTCCCCTTGCGCAGCAAGGGTGACGTCACTGAGGTGTTGATCGACTGGATCCGCGGTGCCCGTCGCCAGCTCAGCGAGAGTTTCGGCTCGGACCTTCCTGTTCTGCGTCTGCACTCAGACAGAGGTGGTGAGTTTTCCTCCGACCTCCAGAGGGCCTTCTGTCGTGCGGAGGGCATCCGCCAGACGTTCATGCTTCCGGCCTCCCCACAGCAAAATGGGATTGCTGAGCGCCGCATTGGCATGGTCATGGACGTCGCTCGTACGTCCATGATCCATGCGGCTGCTCCCCATTTTCTGTGGCCGTTCGCGGTTCAGTACGCGGCGCATCAGATCAACCTTCAGCCTCGTGTCTCCTTGCCGGAGACCACACCTACTCTGAGGTGGACAGGGAAGGTTGGCGATGCGTCTGTGTTCCGTGTCTGGGGATCTCGAGCTTTTGTCCGCGATACTTCAGCGGACAAGCTGTCCTCCCGTGTCGTTCCCTGTGTCTTCCTTGGCTTCCCCCCTGACGCACCCGGGTGGCAGTTCTACCACCCCACCTCGCGTCGTGTTCTGTCCTCTCAGGACGTCACGTTTGACGAGTCGGTGTCTTACTACCGTCTCTTTCCCTACCGCGCTGCCTCTCTCCCCCCCCCCCCCGCCACTCTTCCTAGTACCAGGTACTCCTCCGGTAGACCCCATCCCCCCTCAGGGTCCTGCCCCCTCAGGTGTGTCTCAGGTAGACCCTGCCGAGCCGGTCGAGGTAGCTGTCGACTCAGGTGCTGCTAGGGGTGCTGAGCCTACGGGTGCGGGGACTGGGGGTGCTGAGCCTGGGGGTGCTGAGCCTGAGCGTGTGGAGCCTGGGGGTGCTGCCTCTGGGGGTGCTGTGTCTTGGGGTGCTGAGCCTGCGTGTGCTAAGTCTGGAGGTTCTCCGGGTGTCCCGTTGCGGCGAGAGCCCCTCTCGCCGCAGCGGCTTCGTGAGTGGTACTCTCGACTCTGTCGCCGTGCTACTGGTGCTGGTGCCGCTGGTCCTGGAGGCGTTCGTACTGGCGGTACTGGAGCTGCTGGTGCTGGTGCTGCTGGAGGTGCTGCTGGTGCTGGAGCTGCTGGAGGTGCTGCTGGTGCTGGAGCTGCTGGAGGTGCTGCTGGTGCTGGAGCTGCTGGAGGTGCTGCTGGTGCTGGAGCTGCTGGAGGTGCTGCTGGTGCTGGAGCTACCGGAGGTGCTGCTGGTGCTGGAGCTACTGGAGGTGCTGCTGGTGCAGGTACTGCTGGAGGTTCTGCTGGTGCTGGAGCTACTGGAGGTGCTGCTGGTGCAGGTACTGCTGGAGGTGCTACTGGTGCTGGAGCTACTGGAGGTGCTACTTGTTGGTGCAACCCTACGGTTTGCATTCGGCTTGTTGTCCGTGTGTGCATGGAATGGTATGAGGGCATGAAATAATATATATTTCATGCTTACAATAGTGTGTGAATGATGAGGCATGATTTTGAATGTGTGTGTCGAGTCAATAGCGAGTTATCGCTAGTCGCGTGTCACGTCGTCGTTTGCGTGTCGTGTGCGGTTTTTCTATTTTGTCGTGTGTGGAACGTTCGGCGTGTCGCAGGTGTGCGCAGCAGACTTCCAAGAACTCAAGGAAGAATTTACCTTGAAGAACCAGAGCCTTGGTTTCAAGAATCAAGTGATTTCGAAGCTCTCCAAAAGGGTAAAGTTTAAGATAGTGAGAATAGTTGCATTACTTTGTGTAGTGTAACATTTCTCTTGGTGTAGGCCCTTGTGGAGGGTAGTTTCGAGACCCTTCGTGGTTGGGGACAGTGTGGCACTGTTCCACATCACTGTACCTCGGCTCTTGGGGTTTGTAGGAGCTGGGAGTCATTCCCAACTCGTAACTCTTCCTATCTTGTGTTCTAAGACTATAGTGGCTGCCATAGTACCGTTCGTTCAAACCAACGCTGTGTCGTCAATTCTTTATCAAATTGTGCAATCTAAATTGCTTATTGTAGACAACGTAAAGGCGCTCCAGATCCAATTTGAATCAAGTCATTTGCAGCTGTGAGCAGAACGCTATCAACGTTTGAAGCCGCTGTGCAGAAATCCGTCTGTGCTCTCTATCTTTCGTTTTAGGCACATTCAAGCCTATTGTGACTATAACAAGTGGTATCAGAGCCCCTTGGAGCAGTTTCGACAATGGCTGGACCTGAGGAAAGGGGTGGCAGAGTTGCTGGTGGCAGTGGAGAAGCCCAAGCTCAAGGCCAACCCCGTGATTCAGCCATGGCGCCCATGCAACCAAGTCTTGGCCCACCTAGGGATGAGCCTAGGGTGTTTGGGCTTGACAAGTTCAACGGTGACAACTTTGCTGAATGGTCCTTCAAGATGGAGAACATCTTTGACCACTATGACCTGCTGGAGGTGATGGAAGGAACGGAGAAGCGCCCCGAGAACGACCCGGAGAAGAGCCCGTGGGTGCGGAAGAGCGCACATGGCTATCTCCTACTTGGGCAAGCGTTGGGGAGCAGCCAGATCCGTCACATCAAGCCATTCCAGCGTGAACCAGAGAAGGGACCAAAGGCATGGGCTGCTCTCAAGGGTGTACACGCTCCTGCAACAGCGGCGGTAGCGGTGGTGTTGGAACGGCAAATGGCGGCACTACGAATTGAAGAAGACGAAGCGGTTGAAGAAGGGGTGCAGAATTTCTTCGACTTGTTGACGCGGCTTGAGGGAGCTGATTTGAACTACAGTGAGCTCCAAAAGAAGACCAAGTTGCTGGCCTTACTCCCAGAGTCATGGTCCTCGCTCATCATCAACCTCAATCGTAACTTGCCCCGCCTCTCACTTGAAGACGTGAAGCGAGCGATCCTTCAAGAGGACTTCCGCCGCCGTGAGTTGGCGAGTGCGGATGGCGCCGGGGCAGCAAGCATCGGCCGAGGGTATGGCCGTGGAAGGGGCAGAGGACGTGGAGGAGGAAGGTTTGGAGGCAGCAACTTCAACGGAGGCCGCGGGAGTAGCGGATACGGCAATGACAACAAGAACAACGGACGCGGTCGCGGACGGTTCGACGGCGAGTGTCATTTTTGCCACAAGAGCGGACACATGTGGCGCGATTGCTACAAACTCCCTGATGGATGGACTCCTGCTCAAGGCCAAGAGGGTAGAGGAGCAGGAGGAGGGAGAGGAAGAGGCCGTGGAGGCCGTGGCGGTCGCGGAGGTGGTGCTGCAAGTATGAAGAGTGCCGGCAACGAGAGCGAGTTGAGGGACGATCGCTTTCCGGGTCAATTCTTCTTCGTGTCCACGCAAGCATCGGCTGGTCCAGAGAAGGATGAAAGCTTTGAGGAGCCAGCAGCTGTGGGGAAAGTCACCCTACACTCCCTGGACTATTGGGTGATCGATAGCGGCGCTACCTATAGCATGACACCTCGTGCGGACTTGCTCACCGAACTTGAGCCGTCACCGGTGAAGCATGTGACATCGGCTTTGGGGCAGCGAGCAGAGGTGAAAGGCATGGGCAAGGCCATGTTCAAGGGTGCTGATGGGAAGATGGTGGGCCTCAAGAACGTGCTTTGGGTGCCCAACCTTGCTGCCAACCTGATTTCCGTGCGGCGGTTGCAAAAGGCCGGCATGGACACGAGCTCGAAGGGAGCTAAGACCTACACCGCGCTTGGCGAGCGGATTCTTTGGGACCTTCACGAGGATAGAGATGTCTATAACGAGATGTGGCAAATCCCTGTGGTCCCCATGCCTAAGGAGAGGCAAGTGGCAGCAAGCATCAGCACCAAGGGTGAAGCGGTTGGTAGCGGCGATGGCACGAACGGTCGCGCTAAGGAGATTGAGTCTAAG